TGGGCTGACTGGCGGTAACGCGCGGCTTTTCCCGCAGCATGCCTAAGGCCAAGGAGTTGGCGGGGACGAGCAGCTCGGAGAGCGGCCCGGAGGAGGAGGGGAAGGTACTGCCACCCCGGGGAGAAGGGAGAGCCGCCAGCAGAGCTTCCCGGTTGGGTCTCGGTCCGGAGGGCAGGTGACACGCCTTTCCCGCCCGCACCGGGGGGCAGACAGGACAGGGGCCCGGCGGCGCCCCTTCTCCCCGCCACCGGCAGCAGAGGCACCTGGCAGTGCAGCCGGTAGCACGTGTGCCTTGTTCGTAGACTGTGAAACTGATGTGCTGTGGAGGCTCAGGTACGGCCCAGGAGAAGGGCTGTGGCTCCAGACTGGGCTGTTCAAACTGGTGATGTCTCTTTCTAGAAAAGAAAGAAAGAAACGTCTTCTAAGTCAGAGAAAAGGCTGAAAACAGAGGCCAAACCTTCAAAGGTGACAGAAAAACCTCTAGGAGAAGGCAGTGAAGAGGAGGGTATGTTCCAGGTATGGAGGGCAGGGATCCGCTCTAGGAACACATCTTCCTCCTCCTCTTTATACAGGCCTCCCCTCTACCTCCTCTACTTGTAGGGGAGCATTTTTGTAGCTGAGCTGACTGCCTGGGGTGCCTGCTGTTCCTTCAGTAGTCCTCTGGCATGTTGAGTGACCCACAGGCCCTATGGGCTGAGGAGCAGCTTGTTGCAGGGCTGGGTTTAACGCAGGCTCTGTGTCACCGCAGATTGGGAAGATGCGTTATGTCAGAGTGTCCTGCTTCAAGGGGAAGGTTCTCGTGGACATCAGGGAGTTCTACGCTGACAAGGAGGGCGGCATGAAACCGGGGAGGAAAGGTACGACCGTGTTCGCTAGGTGGCAGCCGGGAGCCGTGCCGGCCTCTCCGCCTCGGCTGCTGGCTCTCCAGCTCCGGCTTAGCCTGTCTCCCTCGGTGGTAGGGAGACCTGTGCATGCCACACTGAGGGAGCGGGGAGCTGAGCAAACCACGTGGGAGGGTTTAGCCACTTTCTCAGCCTGGGTGGCAACAACCGAAGAAAAGCACAAGGAATTGAGCGAGTGTGAGCCTCCAGTGACATCTGGAGCTTGGCAGGACCGCTCTGAGAAGCAATGCAGGAAGCTGCTCTGCAGGCCTCTGGTTCCACCTCTGATCACCAGGCCTTTCCCTGGCTGTTGACAGGGGCAGAGCTGCAAGGTGGAGGAGGGGAGGCTGAAAACACTGGCTTTGATGTTGCTTCTTTGTGTCCTACTGCTAGCTGACAAACTCGTGTTTTGGTACTGGTGATGCCTGGGGCAAAAAGGTGGCATTTTGTGTGTTTGCCCCTAATCTGTAATGGTGGAGCTGTGCTTGGCAGGGAGAGACTCCCAGGAGTAAATCCATCCTTCCCTATCTAGGTGGGGACAGGAAGGTTAAGACCCTTCTGGATCCCTACCAAGACACTCCAGTGTTTCTGGGTTAGGTGTTCCTTATTCTTTTGGCAAGGTGTCTGATGATGTGATACAGCGGCACAAATTGGGCAGCCCATCACAGCAGCACTACTGGAGTAGGTGATGCAAGCAAAGGCAGCTGGAGAAGGGAAGACATGTTTTTTGCCAGAGCTCTTCAACTGATGAGTCAACACTTCAACTTGGGCCTTTTGCTTTGGGACTTTGACAGTGACTTGCCAGCATGCCTTGTAGTTCACAGGCCCTGGACTCTTTTCACCTGTCCTGTGTGGTGTGCCCAGCAGAGATTCAGTTAATGTGGGATCCTTGCTGTAGATTTTTGTGTCAGGGCAGATGAATTTGTTTCAGCTTGGTTTGCTTCATAACTGCTAAGCATGGTTTTCCTTCCAGAAATTAATTTCCTTCAGAGAAGTTACAAGTATAAATTACTCACTTAGAGGGAACTGTATACCCTGTAATGCAAATGGGAAGCAAAGCCTTCAACCTTTTCTGCGCCATTGGGGGCAGAGAGGGAAAGGAGCATTATGGACTCCTTCCAGGCTGGAAAAAGCACACCCACAATGTAAGACAGAAGATCTGTCAGTTAAAACAGAGATCATGAAGAAATGTTTTTTTTCATTTAAATACTGCCTGTGCTGTTTTTCTTGGCCCCTGATCTTTATCTAGAGAATTTAATAAAGCTTGGGCCCTAGTTCTTTAATGTGATTCTTAACAAAGCCAGAAAGAACAAGTTGACAACATCTGGCTGGAACCCACACAGCAATTCCACTACCGTGTTTGTTTTCTAAGGGAGAAGGACAGGACATCAAGACCTTATCTCTGCTGGATCTAAAAAGAAGCCAGTTCTTCTCTAGTGTTTAAGCCACACTACTGATTTTTTGTTAGCAGCAGTTTTTTTAAATAGCACTAGAGTTGGCATTATTTCCTTTGGGCAGTTGAAAGGATGGTGTCTTAACTGCTGTGTGGAGTAAGGTTCTCCTAGAATTTCTTTCCAGCTCATGTGTGTGGGAATTTGTACTAGGGAATAGGCTATAAGGGGCTGTGGGACTCTTGAAAGGCAATCTGAGCTTATATTCTCATATGGTGCTTCTGTGATAGCATTGAGTACTTCTTGATATGGATGCTGAAGTGCTGGCATAACTGCCATGCTTAGAAGGCTGCTTCTGTTTCTGGTCTGTGCCTCTGCCTCAGATTCCAACTTTCCCTTCTGTAGTTAGTCTGAAGGAGCCAATCTGTTGTGCTACTTGATGCTTACCCCTTGCCTCCTCTGAAACCTTTCCTTCTGCTGTTTCTAGGGATTGCCTTGTCTGCAGAACAGTGGAACCAGCTGAAGGAGATCATTCCTGAGATTGATGCTGCACTCAAGAAATTATAAAATGAATCTTGGACACCTTCAATCCGTTTCCTTTCCCTTAAGTCCACTGACAACTATAAAGCCAAGGATTGGCATCTGGAGCCTTCCCCTCACCTTGCTGGGGTTTCCTCAGTGAAGTGGTGGTCATGCTGAAAAGACCGGAGACTCTTCTATTTTCAAGAAGTAGCTTGTAGTGAGCACCTGGAACTAGAGCCAGTGCTGTGAAGTGAGACTACAGCACCTCTGGTCTCAAGTAGACTTGAGGTCTGTGCTGGTGAGGGACCTGGCTTTCCAGGGTTAGATGGTGTCAGTCTACCTTGTGGAGTGCTTTAACTGCTCTACATCTGTTACTGTCTTCCACCTGGTTGACTGTTGAGTAAGATTGTTTGTATACCTCATGTTGGCATCCTCTGTGTTTCTTCCACATCATTCTGGCTATTTCAAGTACTTTCTGTGTTGGTGAGGGTTGTTTGGTGGTTTTTGGTGGTGGTTTGGTTGTTTGTTTTTTTTTTGAGAAAGGGATTATTATACTTTAGCAACTGGTTGTCTGTAGAGGGTGAATATGCACAATAAATGTGTTTGCATTATAAAAAGGAGAGGCATAGTATTTCACAGGCTGGTACCTCAACTCTTTGTTTCAGGCACCCTTCTTTATAGGTTGCTGTTGGATTTCCCTTTCAGAAGGAGAGTACTCTGTAATGTTTATTCTCATGATACGTTCCCAATAATCCTGCTATAAGAAGCAGTCAGACAGTGGTCTACTCCAGGTCATGGGAAGGGCAAGCTAGAATGTGAATCGTTCAAAGGAACTGGTAATTAGGAGGCCTATTAAACAGAGGGGAGATCAAAGGCCTAATGAGGAAAAAGAATATTCCTTTCCCTGTGGCAGAGAAAAATGACAAGCTATGGAAAGAATGGAGAGAGGATACTTTATGCTTGAGCTCTAAATGGATCCCACTCTGGGATCAGCTGCAGCAAGCACAGCCTTCCTCAGCAAGACTTTTCCAGACTTTTCAACAGCTTGTGTCTTCCATCTATTTTTGGTTTTTCTCTTGCCCTGGTTTCCATAGCATCTGAATGCTTCATGCTCTTAAATATATCTGACACTTGCAACACCTTGGTGAAGTAGGAGGTACTAAGGCCCTTGCTTTATAGAGGTGCTGGGGCTGTAACAGCTCAGGGTTGCGTGGAAGATGTGGGGTGGAACAGTGAATTGAAACTAGGCTTTCCTAAAAGCTGAATTTGTAACTGCTGGATTTAACCTTTCACTAGGGATAGCAGGAGAAAAAAAAAAAAATCCTTCTCATAAAGCTGTCCCTTAAAAAAATTTTGAAGGGCTCAGTGCTGTAGCTGCTTGGAGCAGGGGTGGGGATGGGTAGACTTGATGACTGAGGCATTCTCCTCTAATCCTGTATTCTGCTATTCTCTATTCAAGTGTCACATTTCTTTCTCTCAAGTAAGTGAGAGAGAGCATAAGGATACTAGACTGTGTCCCAAAGCCAGGTTGCTCATGCTCTAAGTTTTTTCCCGTGGAATATTTATAACATAATGTCTTAATACAGTGTTCAGAGACTAAAGGTAATGGGAAGATAAAGAACTTAAAAAAAGAAAGAGATGAAAGAGAAGCAGATGGTGTAGGTATGAACCCAAGATGCTAGGGATGCCCAGTGCTTTTATTTTGTCCCAGCCCTGGGGTACCCAGAGTAAAGCATGTGACAGACCCAACCATCTCTGTGCATGATGCATGCTCCAGGAGTGTTTGGGGGCAGAGGGAGAAGCCAGCTCAAATCAGCAGAGCTTAATATCTTTGCTGATTAAAAACAGGTCCAAACTGAACTTGATCAGCTCAATTGAATATTGCATGGTTCTAGAGCTGATGAGTGGCCTCCCCTTAATTGGGAAAGGAGGGCCATGTTCCATTGTTTTCTGACTACCTTTCTTTCAAGCATTGGAAAATGAATGGAAAAAACAGTTTGCAAACAACCCAAACTTTTTGTGTAACAAGCAAAAGGCTTTTTTTTTTTTTAAACCCTCAAAGAAGAGCTGCTGTTGATCAGAAAGATATCTGGAATCTTTGATGTTCATTTCCAGTCTACCCACTGTTATAGACAACTTCCGGTCATAAAATCCACAAGCCTTAAAACTTAGTTAATTTTTGGTTTGTTGCAAAGTTAAAATATTTAAAAAAACCCTATCTTAAATTGGTTGGGATAACAGATACCTAGTGAAAGTTAAACAGCAAGGTCTTGGTAAACAAGAGAGGATGAAAGCTTATAGCAAATTGTACTCTTTTACAGAGAGAGGGTGTTTTTCTCTTAAACTGTTAATCTGGCTGTCTTGGAGCAGTTTTCTCTGCAGGACCTTTTGCTCCAGACCAGAAACAATCACATTGCAGGAATGAACTTTTATCTTCTTGAGATACTATATTGTTGCTTGGATATTTTCTGCCAGGACTGTCTTAGTTAGTACTTTGGCTCTTCTGCCTGGGGAGCAAATAGGTAAGGGAAGGCAGATGGTTTTGAAGGATCCTTGAAAGATCCTTCCCCCCCTGTTTTTTTTCTGGGCTGTTGTGAGGATTTCCTGCCTCAAGTGCTGTCTCCTAGGTGATGTGGAAATTCAGAGCTCCAGTTTGTATTTTATCCATTCCTCGATGCCTGTAGGAGCTGGAAGGAAAGGGCAGGCACTCCTAATGCGAAGTGTATCTTGCTGTTCCTGTGTCCTTTGTTTGAGCCCTTCTCAAATTTGGGCCACTGGACTGGACCTCTTCACCTTTTATCTTAAGCTGCCCCTGTCTAAATCCAAACACTCATATGCCACAAGAGGCCAGAAAAGTATAGATGTGTTTAAAGAACACCTTGGGGTTTTTCACTAGCAAATGTCTCTCTGCAGAAGAGAAACTTCCTGGGCACACAATGTGGTTTTCTTTTAACAGTTCTTTTTTGAAGCAGTGTCTCAGGTTTGGGCAGAATCTGTTCCTTCATCCTCTGGGAATCATGCATCTGAGCTCTGCTGTGCCCCTTCTAGCTCTCCCTTGCAGCCTCCTCAGTGAGAGATGCAACATGTTTCTTCTTCATCTGCAAAGGTGACCTGTCATTTCCCTTTTTCACTCTCTCGGTGTTATGACTATCTTTTACCTACCCCTTAATCCTGTTACTGTGGTATATAATTCTCTGTCTGGCTCTGTAAACTCTTTCCAGGTGCTGACTGACAGCTGTTCCATTTTTCATTTACCAGCAGTATTTTAATGTCTGTTTTTCTCTACTGCAGTCAGGGTGATTACAATATGTCCATTCATGGACTCTAAAAGATACAGGATATATCTTTCCTTCTAAATAGACATTTTCTACCTGAGGAACTGGGTCCCTCGAGCTGTAACATAAGCCTAGAGCAGCTTGTGCTGTGGCAGCTGACAAGAAAAAGCAGGCTAGGCATGGAAAGGTGATTGAAAACATTACTTGCTTAGCCATGATTCATCCAAGGTGAGGTTTGCTGCTGTTGTGATAAAGGTCTCTTGTTTTTAAGATTGCCTTATCTGTTTGCAGCTGTTAAAATGAGAACAGCTTGACTTGTAATAGGCTTCCCAGCTGATGCATCTGTGGCTTCCGAATAGATGGCAGAACCCTGGCAGTCTCTGCAAGAGATGTAAACAGAAAGCTTGACCGGTGTGGGGAGTTCTGGTTTTTTAGGGTGAATTTTAGGAGTGGTACTACCCTCAAACACAAGGCAGCTCTGCAGCAAGAGTCTTGAGACACCTTGCAGTGGCCCCTGGGTTCAGGCGAGGCTGCAAAAAGCTGAGAGCCTTTGTGAGTCCGTTTCAGTGAAAAGCCTGGATGCAAATTCCAGGCTCTTGCACCTGCTGGCCCTGAATAAGTGTTCTGGCAGCTCCACACACAGGTGGGGACAATAGCCAGGGCTGGAGAAAGAAGAGTACAGAACTGTAGCTTGGAGAAGGGTTGAGATTCTCTGCTGAGCACGAGAGAAGACAAGTGAATCCGCATGCTTTCCTACTGAGGGCTAGCATGTGCCTCTGGTTCTGCAGGTCCATCTGTCATTCTTGCCATGACTTTAGTCTGGGAGCCGGTTGGGTGCTTATAGATCAACAGTGAACAGTACTCTCAGTTCCTCCCTCTGCTCCCTAGGATTAGGACCTCTCTTCCTCCCCTGATAACCCACACCCTTTCTCCTAACCTTTCCTGCACTGACATCAGCATTGAAACCTGCTACATGTATCTCCTGTTGCAGGGGCCTGGAATCAGCCCACTACCTTTCTGGGTAAAATCAAGCATAACAGATCTGGGTAGCATTTGAGCCAGTGCTCTGGCAGGTGAGCTGTATGAGCTATTATGTGGGGCACTGTGGGGAGAGGGCAGGAAGGAGGATGGGACTTTGGGAGCAGGCAAGAGGGCAGTCTGCCAAATTGGGCTGCTGTGTGGGAGCATGGAGCTGTTGTGCTGGGTATGTGTGTTGGATAGTAGGGTCCCCTCCTCCACTCACTGCTTCTGTCTATCTGCAGGATCCAGGGCAAGAGTGGTGGGAGATGGCTGAAAGCTCGTAGCGGAGGGACTAAGCAAGGGGAAGAGAGGCCAGGTTGTGCCTGCACCGCAGTCCTTTATAAAGCCTCAGGCCTGGCATGCTCAGCAGAACTGAGCACCTGGCTCTGCCAAAGCTATCTCTGCAAACAATCCAGCAAACACACCCCCTCCCTCCTCCCAGCATGAGGGTGCAGAAGTCCATTCATCTTCAGGGACACTGGGGCAGGATGACAGGCTAAAATGTATGGCGTGACAACATGAGCTGTGCATGCTGCAGAGGAAATGCCCTGTGGGATATGCAGGCGATGCGTGGCCGTGGGTGGCAGAGCTGGGTTGGGCTGCGTCCCTGCAGCTGCGCTGCTGAGGGCAGCTGCTCCTTGTGGAGCATGAGCTTTGGGTGTGCTGTACCTCGGCATCACCCTGGTGTAACAGAGGTGCAGCAGAGAGATGAGACAGCCTGGGCCACCTGGACTGTGCTGCTCAGAGCAC